ACATCCCTGTTGTTCATGTAATAAATATTATTTTAATATTATATATTAAAATTAAAAATATTTAGCATTTTTATACATTAGGTTGAAATGTAAACAAAGGAAGGTTCACAAGTTTTAATCAACTTTATTATTATTATTATTATTACTATTAAAATGATGGCAAAGTGAGATGTTTTCCTATATTACCAGAATATTTACCTTATAACTAATATGCAGAACTGATGTTTTTGTGTTGTTTTATTTGTTTTTTTATCTTTAGTACATCAATCAAATTAATATGTACAATAATAATAATAATTATAATAATAATTATTATTATTATATTTATATTTATTTATACTTCCTTGTTATTATTTTATTATTATTATTAAATTATAATCAATATTGGCAAAATGGCATGTTTTCATATTTTACCAGAATGTTTATCTGATAATTAAATTAAGAAATTTTATTTTAGTGTTGTTTTATATGTCTCAAAATGTATCGTCTTTTATGGATGTTGATATATGAATGCTGATTCAAAATAATTGTAAATATTATAATATATAAGATTTTTTTGCATTCATGTAATTGCATAAAAATGTTGTGGACAGTTACATTTTATGCTGCATAATAATTTCATATTTATTTACTGTCAGGCAGGAAATGTACGTTTTTCTTCACTGCATTCAGCGCATATTCACAAGATTTATCAGACTTGATGTACGTGCAAATTGTGACATGTTTGACCTTTTAGACCTTTCCGTGGTTTCCGATTGGTCATCGGTGGCTTGTGGCTCTGGAATGTCTGACCTAGTTGTTATTTCTAGAAGCTCAATTGAATCCATATTAATTGTGTTAACAAACTTTATATTCCTAAATGCGATTAGTTTCAGAATCTCAACCTGCTGTTTCACCTTATAACAGTCACACAGCACACATAACCGTGCTGAATAATAAGATATCAGGCAGTCAAGGACAGAAAAGGATTGTTGAGGTTCAAATATTTGAGAAATGAGGAAGTGACATCATGGAAGGTTTCTGAGGCAGCAGAAACTCAGAGCAGTGGATTGGAATTGAAGTAAACAGGTTTCTAAAGAAGCTTAGGCTTAATAATTTGACTGAAATGTGAAGACTTTTATTTTAGTACTTATTAGAAGACTTCAAAATAACTTCACAGCAAAGACTCTCTGGTATTACACTGCAAAACTTGTAATATTTTGAAATATATACATATGTATGTATGCATGCACTATGCAAATGTTTATGTATGTGTAGTTAGATAGATAGATAGATAGGAGATATATATATATATATATACATATATATTAGATTGTTTATGATGGAATTTATTATGCATGATGTATATTTATGATAACTAATATGCATAACTGATGTTTTAATATTGTTTTATTTTAATGAATCACAAGACAATTAAAATGTAATATGTACATTATTATTATTAATATTATTATTTGTTATAACAATAATAACAATTATTATTTGTTTTGTTATTTTTTAATTCAAATTACGTACTAGATATTTTTTAATAATCATTAGACTTCATCAGACATTAGACATGATAATCATTTATTTATTTAAAATCAATGAGAGCAAAATGGTTTCATATATTATCAGATTATTTATGATGAAATTTATGATATATATATATATACAGTATATATATATTTATTTATGATAACTAAGATGCAGAACTGATGTTTTAATGTTGTTTTATTTTAAATAACCATTAGACTACATAAATTAAAACGTAATATGTACATTAATAATAATAATTATCATTGTTGTTATTATGATTTATTATTATTTTAACAATAAGAAATAACAAATATGTGAGCCTGGGGCACAAAAGCAGTCTTAAGTCGCTGGGGTATATTTGTAGCAATAGCCAACAATACATCGTATGGGTCAAAATTACAGATTTTTCTTTTATGCCAAAAATCATTAGGATATTAAGTAAAGATCAGGTTTCATGAAGATATTTTGTAAATTTCCTACTGTAAATATATCAAAACTTAATTTTTGATTAGTAATATTCATTACTACGAACTTCATTTGGACAACTTTAAAG